ATTATCGAAATCTGCCACCTTTCCCCCACATTCAACACATTTTCACGAGGCCACTTTCTGCCATGCTGGCTGCCACCACGGCAGATACACGAAACACTTCTCCCGGACGTACAAATGCCACGGGGTTATCCCGTGTGGCGTGGAGTGCATTGACATGTAACATCACCACAGCTTTGACCATGACCATATCCACAGAATTTCGGTTCTCACTCTCCCCACGTTCGGATCGTGTTTCGTTTTTTTGTTGTGGTTCTTCATCATCCTTATACAGGCCGTCTGAACCATCACTTAATTCTTCTTCCCACTCCGCCAGACGTTGTTCAAGATCAGCTTTAGAGCCTGAAATATCGGCATCGCGCCCGAGTACTGCCGCCAGCTCCTGAAGACGCGCTGTTATTTCTTCTTTTGTCATCACATCTCTCCTGTGCGATAAAGAAAAAGGCGGGAATATCCCGCCTGACCTTATTTCACCTGAACTACCACAAACGCGTCCGGATCCGGCAACACCATCAACGGCGCAGACTGCGTCATGGTATATTCGCACCCCGGGTCCCCCACCTCTAACCAGTGTTTCGGATAACGAATTGCAGAGGTGATCCCTTCACTCAGCGCCTGGTTATCCTGGATTGCGCCATAACAACGGACACCCTCCACCTGAGTGTTTCCAAGAATCAGTGTGCCTTCCGGCAGATAACGCTGCTCATCCCCGTTTTCATCAACATACGTTGTTTTCGCCACCATGATGGCCAGATCACCGTAATAACCTTTAAAAGAAACCACGGAACCCAGATCTTTCAGCGCGGTTTCCAGTTCAGATTTTGAGCCACGGCGGGTATCCAGTTTTTCACGAAACAGCTTAAAACCGTTCAGCATACGCCAGACAGTACCGTCCATAATCGCAATATTGATGGTACCGGAAGCAAAATCGCAGTACGCATCCAGATCATGCGTCGGATCAAAGGTGTCAGCATTCTGTTTTGACCATTCGCGTCCCCCTGCCTGCGTAATGTTATTGGCGGCAGAACGACCAAAATCCACTTCCACCGTCTCAAACTGTTCACCGCTCATGGTGTACTTACCCTGCAGAACAGCGCTGACCGCCTGCATTTCTTCCACCTGCACAATCGCCTTGCTCTTCCTGTTTCAGGTTGTCAGTCAGAATACGCAGGCGACGGTAGGCCGGGTCATTAAGACGGGCCGGATCTTCCCCCGGAAGACGCTCCACCGCCTGCTGATAATCCAGCCGGTGTTTTGGTTTAACATAGCCGGGGCGTAACACGCGGGTTTCACCACCACGACTGCGCAGTACCTTACCTGACACAACCGGAGACACATATGCCGCAACCGGTGTTTTTCCGGTGATTTTATCCAGCATCACTTCCTGAGTATGGAAAGTGACCGTACGACGAAAAAACAGCTCCAGAAACAGCGCACGGAATTTCACTTTCTGCTCGGTGTAGCCGAGCAACTGACGCGTGGTAAATAACCCCATAATTGACTTTCCTTTAAAAACACAAACGGGCCGCATCACGACCCGTTTTTTTCAGTTAATCACTTCACCATCAGGCGTGGCTGATGGCACTTCCCACAAACGCGTTGGCTTTTTTCACCGCATCCACCGAATCCGGCCAGACCAGCGATTCGGTGGCAAACGTACCGCTTTTGTAGTACGTCAGTGTGGGCTCGGTCCCGGCCAGCGCCAGTACCAGCACCCCCACAGCCGTTCCGGCTTTCTGACCATCCCATGCCACCAGTTTTCCGCTGGCGTCATCCAGCATCAGTGGCGTCAGTGAAGGCGTGGCAACACTGATACCGCTGGTACCTGTTGCGGTATATACCGGATCGCTTCCGGCAAAAATGCGCCCGTCCGCGCGCTTTTCTGTGGTGGTTTTAATCATTTTCTCAGTCTCCTGATTTATCTGAATCACGGATCCCCGCTTACGGCATACTCATCAGCAGTTCTTCTTCCCCGTTCCCGGCAGTTCCGCCACCGGAAACGGCACTGGCGGCATGCTGTGCCATGAAGCGCTCAAAAAGTGTTACCTGTGACGGTTGCGATACTGATGGCGCAGCTGCCAGCAGTG